TTTTTACCTTTGGTTCTTGTTGCGACATAAACAACGGGTCAAGGTCCTATTATAAACCTGATTTAGCTTTCCTAGAGTTTAGAAATTCCTTGTCGTGCTGTGGGTCTCATTGTTTTCTTTGGGGTTCTCATCAACAAGGATCAAAAAAATTAAAGTAAGCACGTCAAAAAACCATTATACTAAGAGATAAAGCGTTAGAAATCAATGAATAAAATTGTAGTAACTATAGCTAGGTAGAAATATAAATTGCTAGTAGAAAAGTAAATAGTTGGAAACATAAATTTGCAGAAAACTTAAAGTGCAACAAAATGTATCCTATATAAACCTTGATAGAAAATTAAGAACTAAAGTAAGCAATTGCTATAGAGTGTTGAAAATGTATATCTATCAAAAATATGTAAATTGACAAAAAGATAGAAGTGTAATAAACTACAGTCCAACTAACTTATAAATTTTAAAGTTAGAAAATAAAAGGACTTTAAAACAAGAATTTAATGGTAATGCAAGCAAACGTTAATTAAAATCAAATGATTAACAAGTTGAATGTTGAGTAGAATTAAGTAATTAAATAAGATATTATAAAGACTAATCTTACCAAAAAAATAAAACAACAATGATAAAGATTTTACTGGGGAAAGGTTGTTCCACTCATACTTGACTATGAATTAAAAGTAAACATGTTGAAAGCAATTCTAAGCTAAAAAGATCTTAGGTGTTTAAGCTAACACATGATTAGGAAAGTATGAGATTTCAAAGGAAATTGATTTGTAGAGAAGGGTCGGCCTCAAACTGAAATATATTTTGAAATCTTGTATTTATAAGCATTTGAAATTGAATTTGCATGCCTAAATTTGATCTTGATTTTTCTACAACTTCCATGCTTGAACAACTTCAAATCTTTCTAAGCAAAACAAACTCTGTTACTTGATTGCCAAAAACAAAACATTGGTTTTCAAAAATTGTTGGAATCATGTTTGTTGGAACTAACTTAAAATTGCCCCATGATTTGATCCATCGACTCAACCATCCTTGGATTCAAATTTGATTTCCCAAGATCTGCAAATCTCATTTGTTCTAAATAATGAGAAGAAGAATTCAAATTAGATTTAAATTTTCTCGGTCTAGAAAATATGGTCCAATTCATTTGGAAAATCAAAACCCAAAGGCTACATTTGTGCTTCCATTTCTTAATGTCTCTAACTTCTTATTAAGAACATCTCCAATAGGTATTAAATGTTGTTGTTCTTTTTAAAATTAGAACAATACTCTGATACAAGCAGCAATGAAGGGGTACAATAATTAAGTTTGGGTTCTTTGTTTAAAGTTGGGGGTAAACTTTTTTAATCAGTTGATGCAATGTTAGACTATGTCAATTTCATACTTCAATGCTATCCTTTCACATTTCTAACTTTTTTATTCAACTATTTTATTCCCTTTTTTTTTTCATAAATCGACTTTTTTTTTTTGTCTATCATATCATGGCCATTGTAGTTCTCATCTTATTAATTGTAGTAATCAGATAGATAAAAAAAGATAGGCTAAATTATATATGGTTTGAGTGCATAGGTTATTGGCAAAATAAATGCACCATTTTACAATTAATTTACATAAAAATTCATAAAAGTTGACATTTATTTTAACACCATGCCGCATGAAAAGTTATAATTGGCAAAGTAATTAAATTGAAGTTAACATTTATATTTTCTATAAAAATTAATTGTTAAAAGGTATAATAAATGCACATTTAGCTTAACCCATATGTATATATATATAGGTGGAATAATAATAGTGGTGTGACTTTTGAAGAAGCTTTGTTTTGTTGTATGCATTTGAGAGATGATGTTCTATTAGATATTTTATTTGAGGGTCAAATATATAAAAAAGTGAGTTTATATAAAATAATGTTAATTTTAATAATGTGGCACCAAAATAAGATTTTGAGATGTTCTCCATTGTACATGCTCTAAGTCCAAAATGCATTTGGAATTTACCAACTTTAAGTCTATTAAAATCATCATCATCACCTTACAACATCACCAAAATGATCTTGTGGTAAGCATCACTACATCAAATCACAGTCATTTACTCCTTTTAGCTTCCAATTATTTTAGAAAAAGTATGGCTGCTCAATTTTTATCATAAACATATGGTAGCCTCGTAAAAAAGCTCAATTGCGGTGTTGACTAGAATTAAGTAATTAAATAAAATGTTGTAGAGACTAATTTTACTACAAAAAATAAATCAACAATGTTAAGGATTTCACTGGGGAAAAGTTGTTCCATTCTTATTTGACTATGAATTAAAAGTAAATATATTGAAAGCAATTCTAAGTTGAAAGGATCTTAGGTATTTAAGCTAAGACATGATTAGGAAAGTGCTAGATTTTAAAGGAAATTGATTTGTAGAGAAGGGTAGGCCTCAAATTGAAATATATTTTGAAATCTTTTATTTGCAAACTTTTAAAACAAAATTTGTGTGCCTAAATTTGATCGTGATTTTTTTACAACTTCCATGCTTGAACAATTTCAAATCTTTCTAAGTAACTCAAACTTTGTTGCTTGATTACTAAAAACAAAACTTTGGTTTCCAAAAATTTTTCTTGTCAGTTGTCACAATGTTAGATTCTGTCAACTGCTTACTTCAATGCTATCCTTTCATGTTTCTAAACCTTTTTTTCAACTCTTTTATTCTTTTTTTTTCATAAATCAATTTTTCTTTTGTCTTTTATATCTTGGCTATTGTAGTTCTCATCTTATTAATTGTAGTAATTAGATGGATAAAAAAGATAGGCAAATTTATATATGGTTTCAGTGCACATGTTATTAGCAAAATAAATGTACCAATTTACACTTAATTTACATAAAAAAATCATAAGAGTTGGCATTTATTTTAACATTGTGCCTCATGAAAAGTTATAATTGGCAAATTAATTAAATTGAAGTCAACATTTATCTTTTCTTCACATATTAATTATAAAAAGCTATAATAAATGTACCTTTAGCTTAAACCTTATATATATAGGTGGAATAATAATAGTGGTGTGACTTTTGAAGAAGTTCTATTTTGTTGTATGCATTGGAGAGATGATGTTCTATTAAGTGTTTTATTTGAGGGTTAAATATAAAAAAAAATATGTTTATATAAAATAATATTAATTTTAATAATGTGGCACCAAATTAAGATTCTGAGATGTTCTCCATCGTACATGCTTTAAGTCCAAAATGCATTTAGAATTTACCAACTTTCAGTCCACCAAAATCATCATCACCACCCTAGAACATCACTTAAATGTTCTTGTGGTAAGCATCATTGCCTTAGATGACAACCATTTAATCCTTTTAGCTTCCAATTATTTTAGAACAAGTATGGTTGCTCAATTCCTTTCATAAACACATGGCAGCCTCATAAAAAAGGTCAATTGTGGTGTTAAGTAGAATCAAGTAATTAAATAAGACGTTGTAGAAACTAATTTTACCAAAAAATAAATCAACAATGTTAAGGATTTCACTAGGGAAAGGTTGTTCCACTCGCACTTGACTATTAATGATGGTGATGGGAATCAAGACGATAGCATATCTACCACGTCATGTGATCCATTACACACCCAAGGAGGTCCAGTCATGCGAGCTATAGAGCTAAGAAGATGTGTGAAGCTTTAAATGGCCTTATTGAGCAGATTTGGGTTGAAAACAACATACAACAAGCAAATTGAAGCTTGGATGATTATCAAGGCATGATAAACACCATTCAGGTTCAAGAGAAGCTTCGTTGAGGTCAATTGCATGGAATTACACAGTTTGCATCAAAATCGCACAATTCTGTCGCAATTTGTAGCAAACTGATATTTCGTGTTATTTTAGGTTATTTTTAGTGATTTTCACATTTTTTTGTATTATTTTTGGGTTGAACATTCACTTATTTGAAGCCCAATTCGTGGTTATTAGGTTTATGACTTAGGGTGTTAGTTTCCTATTCGAATTAGGATTTGTTTTCGTTATTTAAAAGGCTTGTAACCCTAATGGGGAGGAAGCTATTGAATCTGAGTTTTTGAGAGACTTTCTCTTTGGTTCGTTTGAGAACTTTACTAAATTTATCAAGATTATTCTTGTGGCGTTCTAACCTGACTTATCATTCTCGTTCTTCATTGTTCGAGGGTGTGGCGTCAACCGACTTTATACCTCTGGTTCTTATTGCGTCATAAACAACGAGTCAAGGTTTTTACCTTTGGTTCTTGTTGCGACATAAACAACGGGTCCTATTATAAACCTGATTTAGCTTTCTTGGAGTTTAGAAATCCCTTGTCACGCTGTGGGTCTCATTGTTCTCTTTGGGCTTCTCATCATCTT